CAATCATGGCCTCAAACCTTTTTAGAACACATACTTTGCATTATGTGGTCTTAAAAGTTCAGATACAGAGATTCTGGTTGTTTCTACAGCAGCTGGGTTTAGGCTAAACACCAGCAGTTGAAACTTGACGTGACTGATATTATTTTGAATCAACTAGACAGCGTCAGTGGAAAGATAACAGGAAATGAAGGAGAGAGATATTAAACACATACACTTAAAAATAGGGATGTTGTTTGAGTTTTCCACACTTGAGTCTCAAGATTTCTGCTCTTAGAGTCAGGACTGTCCGTACCACATTTCATGCGTATTCCCATAGACTCACTCTGTAATGGCACGCAGAGTGTCTTGCTTGAGACGGAAAACGTCCTTCAGGTTGTAACTTTCCCATTCGTACATTTTTCCGGTGGTAATGGATGTATACCACTACCATGATGCAGACGATACAGTAGGCAATTATTACTCCAAGCAGGATAAAGTATCCGATGTACTGACTGCAGAGGGTTGGGGAGAGGGGTACGGGTAAAAGAAAGGAAGCAACAGTCAGTGTGTAGCTTCTGGATGTCATATGTCGTTATTATTAAATAATAAAAATTATAATAATAATAATTACCTGCAATTTAAAAAAACTAAAAACCTCACCTTTGACATTCACGTTGAATCACAGTGAAAATGTCCCTCAGTGGTTGAGACATAGCAGGCTGTACACTCCTTTGTCCTCAGAAGTGTAGAGTTGATAGTGAGAACTCTGTCAGTGGAGGGGGACAGGCTGTTGCATGGGTGCGTGCAGGAGTACCAGGGACTGGGTTCCCATGCAGAGCAACCAGTTTCAGAGGGTCTCCTTCTATGACAGTGATTCAGATCTGGAGGTGATGATACTGGAGCTGAGGCTTATCGGGTGATTGAGTGAGGAAGAAATACAACAATCATACAGTAAAACAACTGTGGAATTATATGAATTTACACAGTTCATCTTCATACTCATATACAATACAGGTGGAAAGTACCTATTTCTGTCACTGACCGCCCATTGTATTTTAACTTTCACTTCTGCTATTATGTATTACTCATTTCAGAGAAAAATATTGGACCTTTTAATCCACTAGTTTTACTTTGCAGATTTGATGTTTATTACAAATTAAAAATAATTTTGCTTATTTAGATTAGACAGCGTTGGAGGTTATTTTAAAAATTGAATCTGATACAATTACTACTTAAAAAATGCAGTCAGTAACTTAAATCCAAGTATCACAATATTAAAGTAACAATTGTTTACTTTCTGTTACTTTTGGATTACCTTCCAACACCACAGAGAAAACAAGATAATCAATGAGAGTTTACATACTGTGTAAAGACCAACAGGACAAGTAACTTTTAAGGGATAAAAAATGTTTCCCCACTCAGTGTGTTTTTAAAGCGAACTACGAAAGAGAACTTGTGATGTTCCCTTTTCTGCTTTAAAGACGATAAATTAGTTTTCCACTCAGAACAGCATTTTTTTTCACTAGAGACCATGAGGAATCTGTGTATTGTGAGCTTGTGAAAGCGCTGTAATACGTGTTCAGCTGCCTCATGTGCATCCTTCTTTTATTTTTAAGTGTTGTGAAATGTAACCCTGCTAATAATCCCCATTTTTACTAAATGTAACTTTAATCTATAAAGTAACTTTTTTTTGTATCCTGTTACATGTAATCCATTACTTCCGAACGTTATTACATACTGTAAACAAATAATATCCAGATATTCATTTGTGTGGAACCAAAGTGAATGAAACGAACCATCTATAGAGCCACTGACTGTTCAGTAAGGACTCAAAAGCATATTGTCAGCTTGGTCTACAGGTGCTAAGTGGAATTAAGTATGAATATG